TTAATTTTATAAGTGCATTGAAATTCTTTGGTGTGACTGCTTGCTTATCTGTTTGTATCAAAAATACCTATGGTTGGCACTTCATCATTTTGTTAATATTAGTTTACTTAGGTTGTACTACATGTGAAAATGCCGACGTTGATATAATTAGGACTAAGGAAGTAGTACTAATACTAAAAAGTAATAAGAGTGTATCACATAGTCACATGTTATCGTCACAATAAAAAACTAATTAACAAATAATTTCTTTTACAAATATATATATATATGGATAATTCCCTCTAAAAATAACTCCCTTAAACTTCTTAAACATGTAGGGTGTGGCAACGATGCTGCGTGGCATTGAATGTCTCGTATTTGTAGCACTATGAGCTATCTTTTCTACAGCAATTAGATCTTAGGGATCTTAGGGCGCGTTTACTAATCCGTAATCAAATTAAGAGGAATTGAATTGAGGAGGAATAGAAATGAGATGGAATCATAATCAGATTCCTTTTGAAGTTGTTTACTAAAACTGGCAGGAATCGGAGTAGGAATGACATTGATTTACATAACTGTTTACTAATTCACATGAATCGGAATGAAAACTATTGTGATTACTAAAATACCCCTAGTTTAATTAATCAATTTTATATGCTAATTATTTTTAGTAAATCTTTTATTCTTTCAATTTTTTTTTCAGATGAGAGAACAATTATTACTTTTTATTTTTTAGTAAAACTTTTATTATTTTATTTTTGGATTTTTTTTAGTTGAAGTCCTGTGCTTATCTACTAACCCAGATAAGAGAACCCATTGTTGTCCTCATCCAAATTGGCATCATCTACAACCCACGGCTCATAGCCTCATCCCGGCGGAGAGATCACCTTCCTCGACGACGTGCGAGTGTCGGGGCCTGTGCCTCACCGTGGGACTCCACAAACCTGAGCGCCAATTCGGTTCTTGCTCGGGTCTCTCTCACCTGAACCCGCTCCTCTCCCTCGACCTCTCTGGTACCGCTCTCTTCTCCGTCATTTCCATTTCCTTTTGTTGCTGAATTTTCTGTTATTATTGGCAACTGGGTTCGGATTTTTTGAAGATTTGATTTTTGCTTTGGGTATGCTTTGCTATTTTTGGGTTGATTTTATTTTGCCGAATCCTATGGAGGAGGATTTTGAGATGGTAGAGCGAGAGGAGGTGGCGGATGAGTAGAGAACTACTGGAGAGGATGGCGAAGGACTGAAGGTGCAGGGCATTTTGGGAAGGAAAATTTGATTCCGGATGGAGCCTTCTCCCCGGAATCCAAATACTACCTCCTTCTAGGTAATCCAATTCCGACAATATTAGGAATTGAATTCCTGATTTTACGTGGGACCCGCAGAACTGTTCATTCCTCTTAGGTTGGTAAACAGCAATAATCAGGAATGGGGAATGATTCCCATTCCGCCATATCCTTTCCGCCTATGTAAACACGCCATTAATGTTTAAATCTGGCCATTCATTTTATGGGATATTCAATCTTTCGTTATATTTGTAGGAAAATATGTATATGTATTCAAATGATAGCATTAAATAGATTCTAGTTTGGTAAATAACAACGTTGAATCTGCATACCATTCAACTCAAATCCAAACATGACAAATTAAACTGCCCATGAATATAAATGCAAATCCCTAATTTTGTCCTTACATGTTCATGAATCCTGCATGCATGCATGGGCAAGTGACTTTGGCGGATACGGACAAAGTTTCGCTTCGGCGGTCCAAAAAGATTGAAAATCTTGGATTTTAGCTCGAAAAATCAAACCATGCGACCATCAATTCTGCTGCCACGAGTAGACTTTTGAGCATACCAAGAATGTCAAGCAAATTGTCGCCACGTGTAACTCACAGAATCCATTGACATGTCTCTGTTCAGTACTTGAACTTCTCACGACTTTTCTCCGCCGGTGAAATAAAGTAACTGAGCATTGTATTAAGATATTTCGGGATCTTGCCACTCGATTTTAATGGATCATAGGCCAGGTACTGTTTTTTAGGAATTTAGACATACTGATGGAGAGATGAATTACCAAAAAATTAGTTTGATTATAATAAAAATACGACATATTATAAATGTATTATATGAGCATTATGTGGAAGACACATGGAAATGGCTATTTAGAAATTGACTAGACTTTGTAACGTAGACTTGTAACTAAACAAAACATTAAAGTGATTGATTGTATAAAAAATTAAGTTAAAAGGGGAGGCTTTCATTATCATCTCATGATGAGGTCACATTAGGTACGACCCGAGCCCTAAGATTAGTATGACACCTAAAGAAAGTTGACATTCTACCACAAAAGCAAATATGGAAAGTAGTCTAATCTCTTATAAACTCTTACAAGGTTTCTCCTTTGACCAATGTAGGACTCTTTTACCTTCACATTCTCACACGCCCTCTCATATGTATCGAATTTTCAAGTTAAACACATGGACAACACGAATTGAATGACATGGAGCACGTGTGGCAATCAGACTTCATAAGTAGGCCAACCTGTTTTGATATCATGAAGAAAATTAGGATTCTATTATAAAACCAATTGGCAATATAAACAGTAGCCAAACTTACTCATAAGCTCTTGCAAGGTTTATTCTTTCACCAATACGTGACTTTTTTACCTTCAACATTCTCATACCATCTCTTGTACATGTGCAGCAAACTTGAAGAAAAGACTTCTTAGGAATTACATTTCAAAAGGCAAAAATATGAAATCTAGCATACTTAAAAAGAAAAATACTGCTTATAAATTACTCTTTTACCTTTACATTCTCACACCACCTACAAAAATTCCTTTTGGTTCCTTTTGGACCTTGTTTAGTTGGAGGTTTGAGGTGACCAACTCAATTAGCTTACTAAAGAGTAGAGAGTCAGCTATGATGCTGACTAATGAGTAGTTTTACACTCACGATCACAGCTTTCTTCTTCCCTTTTATTTTCTTCTTTCTATTTTTGTTGTACAAAATATCTCAAGAGAACACTAAGCTAGGTTGCCGTGATATTCTTCTGGATTTCCGTATCACAAAATCAATTAGTTTGACTTTGCAAGATAGTGATATATGAAGACGTGTGATCCTCTAATTTTTCCTCCATCCACTTTAGGCTCACTGACAATAAACCGGGATTTTTATCATAATATAGGGCACTGTCTTCCATGACGTTATAACCGATACGGAAGATTAGACGATGGTAAACAGATTGATTGAAAATGAAGAATCAAATACTGATACGTCAAACGATAAAATAAATTTTATTAATGATCAAATTCGAACAAAAACATTAACATCAACATTAAGAATCGGCTCAACATCATCTTATTGATACATCCATTAAGTATGATGTCTTGTTAAATCACCGAGGAGACAAAGCAAACACAATGGATCTCAAGTGAGAAGTTAGGATACGAATATCATGAATAATTCTTCCATCGATAATACGTTGATCTACAAATATAAGGGTCTGTTTGATATTTTATTTGAATCCAACTTTTTAAACTTAAAAATATTTTTCAAGTTTTAAGTGTTGAAAACATATTTGATAAGAATCTTTTAAAAAAATAGACTCAAAATTAACTTAAAAATGAGTCTATCTTTAAAAAACACCAAGAGTATTTTTAGAATTTTAAACTTAAACTACCCTCGTTCTCTCTTCACTTTCCTCTCACACCAAACTCCTTTCTCTTCTCTCTATCATTTGTATCTCTCCTCCAATCTTCTCTCTCCTGTCGCTTTCCTTCTTTTTTCTCTATCTCTCCTTTCTCATCTTACACTATGTTGAATTTAGAAGTTTTTAGTGTAGAATGAGATTTTTCTCTTTAAAAACAATTGTGAATTTCATACTAAACAATTTTTACAATTTTAAAGAAAATTGTTTTGAATAAATATTCTTAAAAAATAGTTTGAAAATGATGAATTTTTTTTCAAAAATACGATACCAAACATTCCTTAATTTTTTGTTTTGTTTTTAACTAGTAAATAGTAATACAGAAGAGCAAGAATCTAACCTATTAATTTCAGGAACAAGAATAACTGTCGTTAACTACTTGAGCTAGCTTATAGCTACAAACCCTCGCAATGTTATCAGATATTTTTCAAAAATAAAACGATGAGGGTAAATGTGTGAAAATGCACATGAATCACGTGACCCGAGTGAGGAAATACTTTAAAGTTTAAACCTTTTTAACCACTGACGGAGGGAAGACAAAAAGTTAAATCCGTGAATTACGGATCTACCGGAGGCGTTAACAGCGTGGAGATACTGTCAAAATTGGTGGTGAAGAACGCTACCACGTGGACGGATGGTCAGCTCATATTTTTATAACCACACGGAATTGAGGATTCCTGTTCCCGTACCCCTGCTTGGAGACATCTGCTGCCACTGGAAATAATGGAGTCGGTTCGAGTTGAATTTACCTAACTACCCTCCAACTACATATCTGTATTCTCATTTTTCCCGACCAAAACAAGAAAAATGCATTGGTTGGTATATTATTGTAGTTATGTTTATACATGCAAGATTTGAAAAGTTAAACAATGGGAATAGAAAAGGATTAATTTGAAAGGGATTCTAACACAATTGTGACATGAGCGATTTTTAATTTTTGAAATTTTTTTTTCAGTATGTTGGGATTACGGTTCAGATAATAAGTGTAATAATTAATTGGTTGAAATTTTTCTTTTTAAATTTTCAATCAATTGTATTATTAAACTTGATATACTGAGCCATGTTTAACAAAATTATTACCATTGTATAATAAATATGTCACATGGGATGGGAGTTCCAAAAAAAAAAAAAAATATTGGTTTTAGGGTTCCAACAAGCTAGCTTCAATTTTGTTGGTATATTTTAATTTTGGAAAGGAGGGGATGTATAGTTGACTAAAAATACTTAATTAATCTATATCTTTTTTTTTGGAATAATAATTAATCTATCTCTTTGGCCGCCTTGGAATCTTGGATAACGCGCAACCCATTACCACATATAAAAAATGTTTATGTAGGTCTCTTTCAGACATGTATGACCATTCGTCAATTAATTTATTTATTAAAATGTGAAAATTTAATAGACCTGATTAGTCAAATAAGGTTGGCCTGGCTAGTTCCCATCCTGAAATTACCTATTTACCCTCGTTGGTTTCGATAATTAATAATAATAGTATATTTGTTCGATTTTATCTGGAGCGGATTACTGACGATGATAATATCAATTAACTAATATAATGAACAGAGCAAATGGAGGTCCTAAGCGCAAAAGCACCAGGGGACTTGTTGAACTGGGATGACCTACAGAAGATGAAATACTCATGGAACGTAGCTCAGGAAGTTCTCAGATTGGCTCCACCTCTTCAAGGAGCTTTCAGGGAAGCCTTATCTGACTTTGTCTTCAATGGTTTCACCATTCCAAAAGGCTGGAAGGTATACATTTACGGAAAAGGATCATCGCCGGATCATTTTCCTATGAATCCTAGGGATTCAGTGATTTTACCCGTTCATTGTATATCGTGCGGTCAGAAATTATTTTAAAATTTAAAATTTAAAATTAAATATGAATAGTATATAACGAAAACTGACCGTACGATATACGATGAACGGATGAGATCATGAGATCCCTAAGAAAAGGATCCTTCCTTTTCCTACATTTACAACATATAACCTTTTTTTTTTTTTTTAATTCAATAACTGTGTATTGTAGTTGTATTGGAGTGCAAATTCAACACACAAGAACGCAGCTTACTTCCCGGAACCATTCAAATTCGACCCTACAAGATTCGAAGGAAATGGTCCAGCACCATACACGTTTGTGCCCTTTGGAGGAGGTCCTAGGATGTGCCCCGGCAAAGAGTACGCCCGATTGGAAATCCTAGTGTTCATGCACAACTTGGTGAAGAGGTTCAAATGGGAAAAAGTTCTTCCCGACGAGCAGATCGTAGTTGACCCACTGCCCATGCCCGCCAAGGGACTCCCCGTCCGCCTTTTCCCTCACCCTAAGACAGCCACAACTTAATTATCTAGCTAAGCTTATACTTAAAAGTAAAAAAAAAAAAAAAAAAACCCATCAAACAAGGCTTTATTTCTTGGTTATTGTATTCGTTCTTCATATTTGATCTCTGTACGCCCATAGTTTTTTTTAATGCAATCACTTCTACTGTATTAAAATCTAGACTTGTACCTGGCCACTTGATGTTCATGTTTCAAGACATGAAAATTGTATAATTGAGAAATTAAGAATAAACATGGTATATTGTTTACTAGTTCACTGTGTTAAGGGGACGCAACTAGGGATGGGTAAATACCCATCGGTTATGGGTAACCGCGGTTACCCGCCCATTTAAATTTTACGGTTACAATTATGGATAACCGTTTAGATAAATAAACGGTTATAGGTATAATCGTTTACCCATGAAATTTAAATTGCCGGTTATGGGTATTAACCTCGGTTATAAACGGGTAATCATTTACCCATTTATTTTATATATGTAAAATTAACACAAACCATGTTGCCTATCAGACAAAACTTAGATCAATGCTATTGACTATAGTGCATGATTTCTATAGCTAATATAATATAGTTTTCCTTAACCACTTTAAATTTCATGGTTCATTATATATATTATGTTAATATTTTACATTCTGAGTCAAATAACCCAAGAATACTGTCTTTTAACAGTTTTCGTAACCCAAGAATACTTAGCAAATTTTATATTACCTTCATTGCTAACAGTTAAAAATATCGTCTATAAACTATTATTTCAATTATTGGAATGATATACAGACTTAAAAAATTAAAACGCAGATGTCACAGCCCGTCCCGGGATTTTCTTATTAAGGACGTGAAATGACGGATTTACCCTTAGCGGGTATTAAGGTATGTGTGTGACATTATTTGGTTTAACCTTAGATATGTTTTGGAAGAAAATAAATAAGATGAGTTGGATTATTAAATTTGGTTTTTTGTTAATTTTGGTTAGGGATTTAGATGATGGATGGTGTGGATTGAAATGGGCCATCTAAACCCTTACCCTCTTTCTATCCCGTATCTCTCTCTCTCTCATCCATCTCGACACTCTCTCTCTCACACCCATATTGTACGGCCACACCCAAAACCCCCCAAAACTCAGTGGATCGAAGTAAGCAAGGTAAGAATCTTCATCCTCGTGATGTTTTGAATTGATTGGTGCTAGTTTTAGGGCGTGGAACCTTCGATTTCACGTGAACCCGAACCCCCCATTTTTTGTCACTGTTCATGCACACGTGAAATGTTGTGTTTCAGGGAATTCTAAGCTTATAGTGAGCTTAGTGAGGTCCCAAGGAAGCTCGGAGTGCTTCGTTTGAAGGATTTGGACGTCGGGATCACGAGGGTTGAGTTTGGCTGGTTTTGCTTGGATTTTTCCGGTGAGATTTAGTTGTTTTTGGAGCTTAAAAATAGTGTATCGTGATTATGCATGTTTGGGGCTTCATTTTGGTATAAAATACGAAGAAAATGGTTGAGAAACGAAGGAGAACAAGGCGTTTAAAGTTTGGCCGGAAACCGGCCGCCGGAAAAACCAGTCCGGCGAACCAAGGTTGGGGATGATGCGCGTGGGGGCGCGTGTCCCCGTGCCTGTCCTAGTGCGTGGGGGCGTGTGCGGCCTCCAAAAATTTATTTAAAAATTTCTCGACGTCCGTGACGTCGAGTAGGTCGATGTGGTATATTCATATACCCAAATTGAGCATTGTATGAGAAGTTATTTCGAATTGTTGGTTATGTGTTTAAATTAACGTTTTTATAGTTGTTTCGCATATAGGTGACACTTATCCCGAGGACGAGCACATCCAGGGACGTCACGGGGGTTACGACCCATCGACTTATCAGTGAGTGGGCAGTTTGTTTTCGTATTACCTATATACAACTATTTTTCCCAGAAAATGCGTTTATATGAAAATTATGATTTAAATTGCCATGCATGCAAATGTTGAGATATTTAGTTTGATAATTGATGCATATATATGTTAATTGACGCGGTGGACGCACAGGTGAGTTTTTATATTATTCAGATGAGTTATTTTATGAGAATTGCATTGAAAGCTCATAACCTGCACCCTAGGTGTTAGTACTTATATTATTATTCACCACACCGCACGCTCGCCTTGGATTCAAGTAGGTGGATGTCGTACAGGCCATGTAAGGGTTCCGACATGCTAGTCGTATAGATCACTAGATGTGATTCCGACTGGTGGGTGACCTTAGTTATGGGCGCTGATGATTGATGAGAGAAGCACTAGAGCGTATTTATACACCTTTCATCGTACAGACTACTATACGTAGTTCCGAGTGATGTGCAGTGTAGTGCCGTACATGTCACAGTTGGTGACTCCGGCAGGGCCGTATAGGTCACTGTGGTGACTCCGGCTGAGTGGGATGTTGAGCTTTAGAATCAGCCGTACAGGACCATTGTAGGGTCTCCGGTTGATTTATTATTTCACCTGATTGATATTGATGCATTTCTGATTATATTTGGCATGGCGTGGCATATTATTTCTGAGATGTTATGTTGATGGATATGAGCTGAGTTTTGATGATATGTGTATATATATGTTTATATACTATTTTTTCTGGGAAAGTATACAGGTTTTACGGTGAGGGGTTAGAAATGTTTTAAATGAAAATGTTTTGGAAAATCTTTGATTTTTTACTGACCCACT